GTGCCGTTCCCCCTCCCGTCCGCCATCTTGCCTGTGAGACCCCCTCCGTTCGCTGTGGGAAGGCTTAACCGGGCCGTAGGGCGTGGTGGGCTGGTGTGGCCGCGGCACGAGGTGTCTCCTCTCGGCTCCGCGTTCGTAGTTCGACTGTTGCTCATGTCCCGGGGAGGAGCCCCCAACTCCCCCTTGAGGGTCTCCGGGGGCTTGGGGTGAGCCTGCCCACCTTGCCATTCGTGCTGCAATTTTTAATGCTGTCATAGAAGCTGACAATCTGGAGCTGTAATGTTCTGTAAGTACTGTCCCTGAGCTTCAGTGGCCACCAGATATTATTATGCTTTCACTTTTTTTTTTTTTTCAGTGATCCTATGAATTCCAAAATGAAACAGAAACTGAATGCGGACAAATCGTCAGGATCTGTGCAGGTATCACAGAACCGTGTGGGTTGGAAGGGTCCTGAAAGACCACCTAGTTCCACCCCCCTACCATGGGCAGGGACACCTTCCACTAGACCAGGTTGCTCAAAGCCTCATCCAGCCTGGCCTTGAACACTTCCAGGGATGGGGCATCCACAGCTTCTCTGGGCAACCTGTTCCAGTGCCTCACCACCCTTTCCAGGAAGAATTTCTTCCTGATATCTTTAACATCTTGAAGCTAGAATATGGGAGCAGATAGTAGTTAGAAAATAGAAGATGAATTATCAAAAGTATCTCAAACACAGAATTTGCTTTATTCAGAGGTTTGTGCTCAATTCTCTGGGAAATGGTCCCGCTGTCTGACACAAGTTTTATATCTGCTGAAGGAATACAAATGGATCTGTTGTAATGTGCTTCTACCTGGCTTGTGTCCTGTTGGCTTGAGTAACCTCCTGGCAGACAGTGCCTTGGGAACACTGTGTCCTACTTGAGCATATGTGCTATTGACTACTCTTCTTTTTTTTTGTTTTATTGCTCACCAAGTCATTTTTAGTTTGATGCTGAGCTTGCTGTCTTTCCACGTGGTATTTTTTCAGGTGCTGGCTACCTGCCTTCGTTCAGTTACTGAATCAGTCTGGCTGCTAAGGGTTGGTAGCATAGGTTCTGTAGGCTGTCCCTTATAGGGGTGAACTTTACTTAGAGTTAAATCTGTCTTGAGCATGTTTTAACTAAAGTATTCATGCAGGCAGTCATGTTTGTAAAGCCACCCTTATGAACCACAGTTGCCTTGGAATTGGTGGAAATGCTTAAAGGATTTATGTTCTCAAGAGATGACTGATTAGAAGTTACTAAAATTTATAGCTATTCTTGTCCTGTTACAGGAGTCTCTTGTTAAATCTTTTGAAGTAGGCACTAACTGAAATTTTAGAGAGCCTCTATTTTATGTAATAGCCCTCTATCACGAGGGTTAGAGTGGCTGTAATGTGAATTTCTGGCACTAATGAAAATTGCCTGTTGGTAAGTCTGGCTTATATGTATACATATAGTAATGCTGTGCCAAAGTGATCCTAGAACTTATATTCCCCAGGGTGGTCTTTTGCATTTTCATGTGCTGAGATGCAATGGGTTAACTTGAGTATTAGTCAATAATTTGTTGGCAGAGTACACTTAATTCTAACCTTCAACAGCAGCAAGCAGTGTCGGACACACGGTGTGATTCTTGTTCCCACAGCCCTTAGTGTTTGCCCTTTAGTTCAGCAGCAGGGTAATTGGCAGCAGAAACTACCGTGGGAAAGGCAAACTCCTGTCATCTGAAGTACAGTGGGAATTGGTAATTTTCTCACGCCGGTGTGGCATTGTGCGCTGGCTGTTCTTGCTTGGTTGTCTGCCATTGTTTGCTGTCCCATGGTGGCAGTGTAACCAACCCAATCAGAAAGCTTTAGGGCAGGAAATGGGTTTTTATGCATGATGGCAAAGACGATAAACATACTGTTTATACAAAACAATAGCCTCTCTGGATCGAAGCAAGGAAGCTTTAGATCCATTTTTAATGGATAATTGAAGCAACACATCTATCTAAATGAACACCATTTGAGGGTGTGTTCACAGGTAACAAAAACTGACACTGCCTGCAGTGATGTGTGGGACTTTACCTTGAAAACTTGCATTGCAGTTACTTTTGTCTCTCCCCTGGAGTGTAATGCTGCTGTTGTCAAAGACAACTTCATGAGCTTCAGCTAAAGTTTACATGTGTTGCTGTGCTGTAACTGAGAAGCAGGGACAGGATATAGCTGTAGTGGAGATGGACCACATCACATAAAAACAGCTAGGCCCCTTCTTTGCACAAGCCTGGGTTATGTTACATCTGTTAGATATCTATGTTTATTTATGCTAAACCTAAAGTATCATCTCTTGTCTTGACAAGATGGACCGTGGGTTACCTTATTAACAGAGGCATGACAAATTCCTAAGTGTCAGCTTATGTAGGGAAGAGTGGCAACTCTCTGAAGCTGTATTTGTCTCTTTAGAAGTACCTCACAGACACAGCGTGCGGTGCTGCCCCAAGACGGACTCTTAAAATGATTCAGCCTTCAGCAACAGGCTGCCTGGTTGGCAGACGTAATGAGGTAGGAATTACAAGATAACCTGTAGATGTGGAATTACTTCAACTCCTAGTGAAATGATCTTGAGCTTTTAACTGAAAACTAATATTTGGGGGGAAAAAAACCCCATAATCCACCAACTAGTGTGGCACAACATAAGCTTACTATTAGTTTAGTACAGTATTTAAACTAGCAGTTTTCTGCGTAGTTCAGGAAAATGTTTGAGATTTTTTTTCTTTTGTTAAACCTGTGGGTACCAAGGAAGAGTTCTAGGGTACAGGCATATGATGGGAAGAAAGTGAGGCTTACGAAGGCTTATTTGCAGTCATGGCTGAGCAGGCTGACAAGTCTGTGTTTAAAATGAAAAACCCAAAAGCTGAAATGTTGCTCTGAAGTGAAACCTGCCTGTATTTTATGCAGAAGAAACCTTCAGTCAAGAGGAAAGTCTGGAATAACAAGCTTGCCTCAAAGGCTTGTAAAGCTGAGGCATTGGTGGACAAAGAGCAAGAAAATGAGAATACAAGTGATGTCATTCAAGCTGTAGATCTCATGGTAAAAGGTATGTGGTAATTCCTGAAATGTTTTCTTGCACATAAAAAGTTGTGCTGCTGTTGCACTATAAATTGAAACGCAGTTCCTTTGTCAGGTAAGGGCTTTGTGTTTTCATGTGATGCTGAGCAGGAATTGATGATACCTATCCTCTGTAGTATAGCAAATCCAGTGTAGATGTCTAATGTTTAAGAATGTTTGTGGTAACCAGCAGCTGAGAACCACTGTGTGCAGCAGTGTTAAGAAGTCCTGTAGTAGCTAGTTTAGCTGGACTGCGAGCTTTCAAGTGACGAATAACTGAGTTGAAATGAAAACCTGTGTTGGCAGTGTGCTGTGTGTGCAATTTCTCAGAGCCATTAAGCCTGGTATGGACAGTGACTTGGGAATATGGCTTCCATCTTCAGGAAAGTATGTGTAAAGACTGACATTTCCAAATCTGACCATCTTGCAGAGCTTGCTGCTGTGCTTGAGGCAGCTTCTTGAAGACTCTACCTGTATAGCCACTAATAAGAGTGTAGGACCTCTGTTTCCTGAAAGCTTGTGTCTCTAGCTGTAAACTTGGAATTAAATTTCTGGGAAAACACTACATGGAGTGCATGCTTATCACAGTGTTTAGAACACTGCATGCAAGTTTGATATCTCGATAATTCAGTCTCAGCACAGACTTACTGTAGCTTCTTACTTCAGGAAGTCCTTCACAGCAGTATTGGAAGGAAGTGGCTGAAGAAAGGAGGAAGGCTCTGTATGAAGTGCTTCAAGAAAACGAAAAGGTAGCTAGTGATAAGAAAAGTACCTTCTTTTACCACTGGCTGTTGGTTTCCTCTTCTAATGCTTTGTTATTTGAACTCAGTTGCACAAAGAAATTGAACAGAAAGATGGTGAAATTGCCCGCCTAAAAGAAGAAAATGAAGAGCTCATGTCCTTTGCTGAACACGTGCATTATATGACCAGCGTGATTGAGGTACTTAAAGGGATTTTCAGTTCATGTTGTAGAATGAAAACGTGAGAAACCAGCAAAGATATCATTAATCATGACTGGTTTTGTGTGCTCACACAACTCTTCATTTTAAATGACTGTCTGACCTGTTTCCTGCAGGATGGCTCTAATCCAGAGGTGTAAAGCCCCTTTGAGGGGATGAGTGTTTCCACCACAGACCTGGCAAGAGTAATGAGAAGAAAGTACTTAGAGCTGTTTTTTCTGAAGGGGAGATTCAACCTATTGCATTACCAGAACAGTCTTTGCATGTTAGAGATGGTGACAAGGGAAGGGGAGGGGGTTCACTTTCACTTCTCTGAGATGACTTAAATTCAGATGCTTAGTAGGTTATTTGAGGCTGCTGGCTAAATGGAGTGTTTGTACTTACTTTGAGGAAGTGTCCTGGGCTGGTTTTAGTCAGAACAGAGTTAATTTCCTTCACAGTAGCTGGTATGAGGCTATGTTTGGGATTTGCCCTGAGAAGAGTACTGATAACACTGGTGTTTGTAGCTCGTGCTGGGGAGTGCATGCACTGATTCAAGGGCACTCTCAGCTTCTGATACTGCACCTGTGTTCCCAACTGTCTTGCTACAAGCAGGGACGCATACACACACAGTTCAGACAGCTAACCCAGACTGACCAAAGGAGTGTTCCATTCCACTGAAAGTCATGCTCAGTATGTGGGCTTGGGGGGTCAGTTGGCTCATTTTGCTGGTTTGTTAAGTAGCTGGTGGGTCAGTTGGCTTTCTTGCTGGTGCAATTGCTTTGGGGCTGGCTGGCTCGGACTAATGCTGTGTGTCAGTTGGTGGGTTTTGAGCAATTGTATAATTTGTTTTATTTTCAATTACTTTCATTACATACCATTATTGGTATTATTAGTATCACTATAATACTCATTCAGTAATTAAATAGTTCTTATCTCAATCCATGAACTTCCTTGCCTTCTCGTCCACTAGAGGTGTGGGGGTAGGTGAGTGAGCAGCTGTGTGGTACTTAGTTGCTAGCTGGGGTTAAACCGCAACAGTCCTCTGAGGAGCTAAGCTCAGCAGGGACACACAAAGTGGAGCAGTAAGAGGAGAGGTGACCACTTATGCTAAAGCATAGGAGCACTAAAGTAAAGGTTTTGCTTAGGAATTGCTAGTTACGTGGCCTGAAAGGGGGCTAATGTAGGGTTCATAATCTTGCAATTTTCAAAATGGCTTCCTTTTGAGATAATTCCTTGGGGACAGGTAGTTGTATCACTGATTCTGTGAAAGCAGGAGTAGATTGTAACAGTCACTGAAGCTGTGATTCATGGAATCACAGAATGGTTTGGGTTGGAAGGGACCTTAAAGATCATCTAGTTCCAATCCCCCTGCCATGGGCAGGGGAACCTTCCACTAGACCAGGTTGCTCAAAGCCTCATCCAGCCTGGCCTTGAACACTTCCAGGGATGGGGCATCCCAGTGCCTCACCACCCTCTCAGAAGAATTTCTTCCTGATATCTAATCTAAACCTCCCCACTTGCAATTTAAACCCGTTACCCCTTGTCCTGTCACTACAGGCCCTTGTAAAGAGTCCCCTCCCAGCTTCCTTGTAGGCCCCCTTTACATACAGCCATGGAACCTTGATACTGAAACCAGCGTCTTGGTGGTTTTTGTAGGGGCTGAGCTCTCAACTGGGATATGAAACTGGGTGTCTGGCAAATATTTTGATTTTTCTGATTAGACTGAGGAGATGGAAAACAAAATGGAAGATTGTTGCAAGCAACTTGATAAATCAAGAACTCTGTCAAAGATTTTCAGTTGGTCTTAGGGCAGTCTTGAAAGGTTCCCCTAACTTGAATTTTATGTTTGGTGTTGCTGCTTGTTAGTGATAAACCCACAGGCAGAAATTAAATACGCCTTAAGTAATTAAACAGTCTAATGTTTGAAAATTCTCTGCACTTCCTCAACAGTTAAGTTTCCTTATTAGTTGTGAGCTGCTCACTTCTGAGGCTTTAATGAGCCTTAAGTGATGCATCAAACAGCCAGAAGCCTCAAAAGCACAGCCTCTTGCAGGCCTGTTTTTCTTCCTTGCATCAGGTCAGGTGAGGAACTTGTAGTTAGATCAAGTTCTAGAAACTGCTGGGTCTTCTAGTTCATCCAGACAATGTAGCTTCATTATCTCTGATTAAAAAATTATGAACTTCATCTGTTGTATAGTAACTCTTCTAAAATGAAACTTGTATAGCAATATTTAACTTGGGAAGCTGTTTCCCATGTTTTGTTGCCTTCAACGCCTGTCCTGTTGAAGAGCCAAAGGAAGACTCAGCAGTCAGCAGACCAGATGTGGAGGGTTAGAGGTAGCAATTTGAATTGAAATTGAGTGTCTTAAGACTTTTTGACTGAGGAATGTTTTAATTGTAACAGCAACCTCCAAATGAAGATAATTAGTTTGCTTCATTGAATATGCAGGCTATTAAGTAGAAAAAGTACAAAGTTCACACTAAGTTCACACTATCTTTTTTTTTTCTAGAGGCTAACTGGGCAAGCACCTGACAGTCTTGAGACATGGAGCAGTCTGGCTGGAGGGGAATCCAAACAAGAAGATGAAGAGCTTAATTGTGGAGATGATGCAGACAGCGCTTCAGAGAAAGGGCCATCACAACTATCATGTGGCTTAAGGGAGAGTATATCAGATCTTGCTTTGAAGGAAGCAGATCACTTGCAACAGGAGTGAGAGCCTTAAATAGGCTTAGTTGTGTGGCTTTTAATTGCAGACTTCCTCCAAAACTTCTCAGGTATAGAAACTTTGTGTGGAAGCATTACAGATATTGGGGTTTTTTTTTAACTGGAATTGTGTAGCAGTGGGAGTATCTGGGTCTTGCAGAGAACTTGCTACAGGCTGCACTTAGTTGCTTGTGTGAACTGCAAATACTGTGTATTTCAAACTGTGGTGTAAATATCTTACCAGTTGGTCTGACATGCTGCAGGAAAATTGATAAATAAATCTTTGCCTTACCAAAACAGCCTCTTACTTGAGTGGGGGATGGCTGGTTCTAGACTTTGTAAGTAAATTCTGACTACTGTAGGGGGAGCTTCCAAGTCTTTTGTGGAGTGCCTGGGCAGTTTTAAACTCCTCAGCTTTGCAGAATTCTGGAGAACAGAGTGGTTTTCCTGGATAGGGAAAGCAAAATAAAACTTGTGTGCTGTTGGTGAGGCTTCAGAACGTCTCAAGAATGGGTAATAAAGTTGAGATCTAAAATATAGTGAATTTATGCTTTTCAGGGGGTTTTAAATAATTGCCTTTTGTCTTTTAAGGGAGCTTTTTCCATGATTTAGAGAGGAGTGCTACAGTAGGAAGTGTTAAGACAGTCTCTTCTAGAAATACATTTATTGGCTTAGAAAGAAAATGTGAGGTTTTCTTGCTCCTAATAGCAGCTGGACTGAAAATTAGATGGAGACAAAGGAGCCTTCACCTCAGGACTGCAGTTTGAAAACAGACATTGAATCTCCTTTCAGAGTGATTATAGACATCCCTGTGGGGGAAGAACTGCGTGTGGTTGAATGTGAGTTTTCCAGTCCTGAGTGAACTCAGCAGCTGTTCTGGAAGTGACAAGGCTTTAAAGGGTGGCGGCCATTGGGATGTCTTGTGAACAGCTTAGTTGGGTAGCTTTTGGAAGCAGAGATAGTCGAGGGACTCTGGTTTATGGAGCTACTGGACCTTGCCAAAATGGGTGCTTCGGGCTGTGTGAACGCACCCGTGGAGCCATCAGATTGGCACCTTTGGATTCCTTCTGTGTCTTACTCCCTGTGGGAGTCAGGAAGTTAATAGATGCTTCACACCTGAAATTGAAATTGTATCAAGTTGCGACATTCCCTGAATGTCAGAGCGATTGTAGGAAGTCAGGTTCTTTCTGGCTTCCATTTCGCCTTGAATCTGCTAATTACAAGGTGAGGCATCATATTTTCCTGGGAACTTTGTTAGCAGAAGATTTTTACCTTCTAATCTGTGCTTTAGAGGGTGCTTTATGCATAATCCTTTCCATCCTGGTGCAGAAGCAGTGACAGAGGCGTGACCTTTAATTTGTACTGATCTTGTGTTTAAGAAAAAAACCAACTAGATGCTGGATGACTGCTTTGTAGAGTAACCTTGGTTTTGTCTTCAAAAGAAACAGACAATACTGCCAGGTGACATAAACCCCTCCTGTATCAGATTCCAAGCAGTTTTCATGTCAAAGTAGTTCCTCACCAACAGTGAGTGAGGAAACACATGGAACTTAACTTGTAACAGTCTTTATGCAGTGCAATTCAGTTACTCATAGTGAAATCATTGTTCAGAGGTGGCTTTTTTAAGCATCAGGAATATTTTGCGTTTGCAGAGACAGTAGAAGGGAAGAAGGTGCCGTTGCACAATTAACTGACTAATCCAGGAGCATTTTGCCTCCTGCTCTGTGAACTGCTGCAGTACAGGTGCTGCTGTTGCAACAAAGAACAGCCAGGCAGTAACCAGTACAGAATTTGCCTCTTATCTGAATCTAGCTCTTCCTTATTTTCATCAAGATGGTCAAGAATGCTTATTAGATTTAAATCTTGTGCTTTTTGTTGATTTTCTTTTAAATAGCAGTGACAAGACAGCCCCTTGAGTAGCTGGATTCTTACTTCTGTTGAAATGGATAAGGTAAATCACTCGAGTTGTTCATGTAGGCTGGTGCCTTGTATTGCAGTGCTTGCCCCCCTGTAACAGAAGAACTTTTTACATCAGAAACACATGGGCCACTTAGCAATATGTACACTTGCACCACAAGCCTTCAAACCAAGGCTAGTATGGTTTTAGTAACTTTAATTCATTAGTGGAGAGAATACCTTGCTGTATAAACTCTTGGTGGTGGGGGTGGGGAAACATGCTGCAGGAGAAGATGGGGTATGAGAGCTGAATTGTGCTAGAGCATGCATGTGGGTTGGGATTTATTCCTGTTTCTGTCAGGGATGCATTGAGCCTTGATCAGATAATCTGCCTATGCCTGTTACATCAGAAATGTTAATGTATGGAAGTGTTGTCAGAAGTTCTGTGAATGCTGCATTAGTTGCTGTTTTATAAAGGTTTTAAAGGGGTCAAGTTTCACTTATTGTCCTGAATATTCCCGAGTTAACAACATGCATGCAGTAGAACTGTAAGTACAGGAACTCTGTATGTGTGAAAGGCTTGTCAGATGTGTAGAAATGAGAGGGAGTGCTGTAATTAGTTCTCTTACAACCATCTGACCTTTTATTTTTTTATGAAGTATATAGGGAAATTCTCCTTCACCACTAAAACTAGCAATGTAACAGCTGAAAATCAACACCACTGAAGACAAGTTTCATATCCAGCTCAATTGGAGAACACTGTCTAGCAGAATAACATAATCAGTTTTGGAACCAAACTGCAGAATGTGATTCTTTCCAAGAAGGCACACAGGCCTTTGCACCAGCATGACCAGCATGCTGACTCCCTCTCACTGCAGAGGCTATGGCTCCAACCTCATCTTTCACCCAAGTATCCTAAGGCTGCTGCATCCTACTGCTTCTCCCATAAAATGTGCATGTCCTAGCAGGATGGAATTTCAGATATGTGAGACTAAAGGGAGATGGGCTGTTCGTGTGTGTTGGCTCAAGGAGGGAGCAGCTGTGCAGGGACTAGCTGGGACAAGCATGCTGCAGGGCAGGTGTATGGTTTGTGTGAGGAAGAACTTTTAACTGGCTTAGCAAAAATAACAAGTTTGGTGTAAACACCCATTGTATTTAAGACAATGCGTGGAGAAGTGAATTGGACCATAATAACCCCTTGGCTGGGCGACTGAAACTTGCTGGGTGCTTGGCATTGTGTTGCTTACCATGAGGGCCTACAGCATTGTCATGTGTTGCAGCCTGTGCATAAGCAACGAGGTTAGTTACTGACTTCTTGTTTTTGCAAGGAAGCCCACTGCATGTTCATTTACTCAAGGTCTGTGTGAGCTTGTTTTCAGAACCTGACTTGAGATTTTTCTGAGCGGGAGGCTTGCAAATTTGCCCAGGCTGTGTGTTTTCCAGTGCTCTGTTGTTCCTGAGACTGAATTGCATTGTTACTGTTAACAATACACAATAAACACTTTCTGCTGAAGAAAACATTGATTTCGCTTTCTGTTTGTCTAATAACATGGAGTAGCTCTGCGGGTGAGCACGGTGTTCTGAGAAACTTGAGTTTACTGCTGCTTTGTTGATCTGCCAGTGACTGCCTGCGAGGAGATGACATTGGCTGTGTTCTGGGCCGAACCTTTGGGAATGGCTGTACCTTCATGCTACCCTCAAGGGGCACTGCAGTTGTAGGAAGGGTGGTGCTGCTAGTGACTGCTGGCTCCTTTGCTAATTGGTAAGCATCCACCTTGTAGCGTTCCCTGCGATGCCTCTGGTTTCTCCTGTTCCACAAAGGAGAGCTCTTGCATTAACATGGTAGGAAAGGGCAGCATTGTCAGCTCAGTGAGCATGAAAAACCTGTAAGCTATGAGACTCCTATGTGGTTTGTTCCTTTTTATTTGCCTTCTGGTTTTGGAAGCTTTAAGGTTTGTTCACTTCAAATGTTTGTTACCCTGGGGGCAGAAACTTAGGGGATTTTGTTCGGTGGTACTCTACAATTCGGTGTGATTCCCTTTTATATGTTGTCATATGGGTTTAAATTGAAAGTGGGGAGGTTTAGATTAGATATCAGGAAGAAATTCTTCACAGAGAGGGTGGTGAGGCACTGGAACAGGTTGCCCAGAGAAGCTGTGGCTGCCCCATCCCTGGAAGTGTTCAAGGCCAGGCTGGATGAGGCTTGGAGCAACCTGGTCTAGTGGAAGGTGTCCCTGCCCATGGCAGGGGGGGTGGAACTAGGGGGTCTTTAAGGTCCCTTCCAACCCAAACCATTCTATGATTCTATGAATCGTGTCAGGACATGATTCTTTCTTTTTGAAGACAGCATTCATGCTTGCCGTGGAATTTAGCCTCTCGACTTCTGTATGCCAGGTTAGAGCTTGTCAGTCTCAGCTACCACTATAGAAACTAGATCTGGTCTAACGGGGGGGTGGAACTAGGGGGTCTTTAAGGTCCCTTCCAACCCAAACCATTCTATGATTCTATGAATCGTGTCAGGACATGATTCTTTCTTTTTGAAGACAGCATTCATGCTTGCCGTGGAATTTAGCCTCTCGACTTCTGTATGCCAGGTTAGAGCTTGTCAGTCTCAGCTACCACTATAGAAACTAGATCTGGTCTAACAATTCATCCTCATTGTTTATGTGAGAGCAGGATTTGCTCCTGTCTGCTTTGTATGCGCTGTAGGCATGGGTTTTAATGGTTACAGTGGCGTGGCATATCAGCTTTAGGTTAACAAACCTCTCAGAGGGTCGATTTGTACTACAATGAGATGCAAGCGGGTATATGCAGCTGTGAGCTCCTGTGACATGGTACCAGTATATGTGAGCAGCCCGATGCTCTCTGCTCGATAGGCAGTTCTGTGATCCCCAGGCCTGTGCCATAAGCCTCAGTGTTTGTAAGGGGAAAAGGAGCGTGTCTGTCCCAGACCAGTCTGTCTTCATGGAAGGGAAGAAGTGATCAGCAGAAGTTGGCTGACAGTCCTGTAGCCCCTTCAGCATATTTTCTGCTTGTGGAGCCTTTCTTGGCAAGTATCCTGAATGATGCACAAAGCTGGTTTGCTCTGAACTTAAACTAGGAGTAGCTAGAAAT